ACTACCACTACGGCTCCTACTACTCCAAGTATTACGACAACTACCACTACTACTACAATTGCTACTACGACGACGACGACAACTACTACTACTACTACTACTACTACTACTGCTACTACTGCGACTACTACTACGACGGCCACTACGACTATTATTACTATGTCCGATGCTGCTGCTCGGAGTAGTCGTGGTAGTACTACGACTACTACAGCAACTATTACGACTACTACTACTACTACTACTACTACTACTACTACTACTACGACGACTGCGACTGTTACGACTACTACGGCTACCACGTCGACGACGACTAGGAGTATTTTCATTACTACGACTGTTACTACAACTACCACCACTACTACTCCTACTACTACTACTACTAAAACTACTACTGCTACTACTATTACTACTACTACTACGACGACTACTACTACTACTACTGCTACTACTGCTACTAGTGCTACGGTTACTAATATTACCACTACCGTTGTTACTACTACTACGACTACTACTAACAGTCGTACGCTCACTGGTTCTATTCCCAGTACTTCCGTCATTACTACGACTAGTACTGCATTGCGACTGGTATGTCTACGACGACGACGGTTACTATTAGGATTACTACTACCACTACAGCGATTATGTTCTATTTTGACGACTCCTACTACGACTACTGCTACCACTACCGCTGCAGCCATTTCTGTCCTAACTATTATTATTATTACTTCTACTACTACGACGACTACCATTAGTACACCTACTACGTTTATAACTACTACTACTACTACTACTACTACTACTACTCACTGATACTCGCACGACCACTGCTACATTCTAGTACTACGTCTGCGACGCCAACGGCTACTACGGCTACTACGGCGACCATTATTACTACGACGGTCACTGCCACTACTGCTACGCTTACAAGTGATAATACTACTACTACTGCTACTACTACTACTACTACTACTACTGCTACTACTACTACTACTACTACCTAGTGTTACTGCTACTAAACTTATGATCACTGCTGCTACGACGGCTACTACCTCCCACCACGACTAATTCTACTACCACCACTACTACTCCTGAAAGTACTCGTACTGTTGCGGCTACTAATACGATAGCTGCGACTACTACGACTTAGTACTATTACCATTACTACTACTACTACTACTACTACTACTACTACTTCTACTACTACTGCAGCTGCTACGACGATCAGTATCATGACTACTCTTACGACTACACTTGTTACAATTACTTCCACTCTTTCTACGACCACGACGAGTACTACTTTTACTACTACTTCTACTACTACTACTACTACTACTACTACTACTACCAATACTACTACTACCACTACTGCTACTACTGCTACTACTGCTACTACTGCTATTATTAGTGCTGTTGACACGACTGCTACGACGCTTACGGCGATTTACGAGTATTACCATCAGCACTATTTGAATTACTAGCACTGGTACCACTACGGTTACTAATACTACCACTGCTATTCCTACTACTGCTGCTGCTACTGCTAACATTGTTAATACTACTACTGCTACTACTACTGCTACGACGATTACAACTACTAATACTACTACTATTCCGGCCACTAATCTCATCATTCGCTGTACTCCTATCATCACGACTATGGTTACGACTGCAGTGGCTACCACGTTTGCGACGATTGTCAGTGCCCCTACTGGTACTACTGCTACCACTACTACAACTACTACCACTACCATTACTACTACTACTACTACTACTGCTACTACTACTACTACTACTACTACTACTACTATTATTACTACTACGACTACTGCTACTACTACTACTGCTACTACAACGAGGGTGGCCACCCCCACAGCTACGACGACTACTCCTACTACTGCTACCTTTTAACCAACACACACACACGCACACACACACACACTACTACGACTTCGAGTGCTACAGCGTATCTTTCTATCAGCACTGTTGTTACTACGGAGACGACGACGACTACTACTATCACGACTATGACTACGACTGCGATTCATGTTGCATTATTTGTGTTCTTCCTTTTTCATTTCGGGGGTGGCGATCATTGATGTTACTACTACAAATGCGATCGCGACTACTACGATGACAGTGACTACTGCGACGATTTCGTATGCTACGATCACTGCGACTGTTATTCTGACTAATCCTGATTGCGATTATCTTTTTCAAGTTCTTAGCACTTTTTCTTCGACTGCAACCACGACTGTGACTACTACTGCTACTACCCGAACTATTGTAGCTACTACTGCTACTACTACTTCTACGGCTACTACTAATGCTACCAGTTGCGACACCTGCTACTACTACTGCTACTACTACTACTACTACTACTACTACCACTACTACTACGACTATCACGACTACTACTACTACTACTACTACGACTACTACTACTACTACTACTATTACCACTACTACTACTACTACGCCTGCGACTACGACATCGACTACGACTACCACGACGACTACTACGCCCACGACTGCGTTGACACTTACTTCTACGACGACTACGATGTCAGCGACTACGGCGACTATTGCTACAATTATTAGTACTTCGACTACGTCGACGGCGACGACGACGACAATTATTACTACTGCTACTACTATCACCACGACTACTACTACTACTTCCGCGAGTGTGGTTTCTATGTTTTTTATTACTACTACTTCTTCGACGACTACAAGTACGAGTACGATCACGGGACGACGGCCACTGCAACCTCTATTACTACTATGACGACTGTTGCTACGACTACTTCTACTACCACAATTACATTTTTCTACTACTAATACTACTAATACTACTACTACTACTACTTCTACTACTTCTGCTGCTACTACTACTACTACTACTACTACTACTTCTACTGCTACTACTTCGAGTACTAGTATTATTTCTACGACCACTACTGCTATTACTACTACTTCTACTAGTACAACGTCTAAATTCTACTTCTCACTATTACTACGACTACTACTACTACTACTACTACTACTACTACTGCTGCTACTACTACTACTACTACTGCTACTACTACTACGACTACTACTGCTACTACGACTACTGCTACTACTACTACTACTACTACTATTACTACTACTACTTATATTATTGCCACTACTACTACTACTACTACTACTACTACTACTACTACTACTACTACTACTACTACTACTACGACTGCTACTACTACTATTACGACCACCAGTTGTACGACGACGACGACGATTTCTAGTACTAGTAGTAGTAGTAGTAGTAGTAGTAGTAGTGGTAGTAGTAGTAGTAGTAGGCGTATCAGTATCAGTAGTGGTAGTAGTAGTAGTAGTAGTAGTAGTAGTAGTAGTAGTAGTGCTAGTAGTAGTAGTTGTAGCAGTCGTAGTCGTAGTAGTAGTAGTAGTAGTAGTAGTAGTAGTAGTAGTAGTAGTCGTAGTAGTCGTAGTAGTCGTAGTAGTCGTAGTAGTAGTAGTAGTAGTAGTAGTAGTAGTAGTAGTAGTAGTAGTAGTAGCAGTACTATAACTACTGCGAGCATTCCTTTTACGGCTAAGCGTTGTCTGTGTTACTGGATCAGAATGAGTGGATTCTGGGTAAGGGTTTGGGTTTAGGTTCGGTCTCGGGAAAGCGCGCAAACACAACACATGCTACTCATTCGTTGCTTGGCAACAAAATGTTTCACAGGAAATTCGAGCACCAGGGGATTTCAGAGAACACTAATGCATGTTTTGTTTTGGTGTTCGAAAGGGATTTCAAAGGAAATTGGACCGCCAGAGAAAGCGAATGTGTTGTATTGGGTTTCAAGAACAATTCCAAACGAAAATGGATCGTCCCGGGAGTCCGCCGCAAACCAATACTTCGCATGTGATTTTCTAACGAATGTAAAATAAAAATTTGATCCCATCAGGATTTCGGAGAAAACCAACGTTCTGCATCGGATGTCAAAAAGATTCCGCTGAAAATGTGTTCTTTTCGCGATTCCGCTGAACAGCCATGATGTGTGTTGGTTTTGCAAAGCTTTCAGATAGGAAAGTTGATTCGGATCGCTTCGGTATTCCCGAGGAAACGAATGTTTTGTATTGAATTGCCAGAGGAATTTGATAACAAGTTGGGTCGCGTCGGGATTCCCCAGGAAACCAAGGTTGAGTAGTATATTCGAAAAAGGGATGTACAAGGACATTGGATCGCCTCGAGATTCCGCAGAAACGAATGTTGTGCATTTGATTTCGGCAGGAACGCCAAAGGAAATATGACTGCCTCCTCACACAGCACAGCTCATTCCACATAGGCTGCACCACACTGCTTGCACCACATGGCGCACGCCTCATAGATTCCGCTGTTTACCTCGCACCAGTTAGAACGCACAATCTGGTTTACACAACATAGGAGTCACCACATGAATTTAACCACCATTCTTGATGACCTAGCTCATACCCCATCGGACGTTATTGTTGCACCATTTTTCTGGCACCACAATGCACACACCACCTAGATGAGCACGTCGACTAGACATGGTTTGCACTATGTAGTTCACACAATGTTGCTCGCACCACATATATTGCACTGCGTAAAGAGCACATAGGTCGCACCTCCTGTCTTGCACCACGTAGAGAAAACAACATATCTCACACCCCCTTGACCGTACCATATATATATATATATAGCACCACGTAGTTTGCACCTCATAGTTTACAGCACATAGCTTGCACCACATAGCTTGCACCAGGCAGTTAACACCACTTAGGATGCTAGAAACGATTGCTTGGCCCCACGTTGGTTAACATGAAAGGAATCAAGGGTTTGCGTGTTATAGGTATGTGTGCGTGTATGGCGTATGTCTACGATGTACTCATATACCATGCATCCTTCCCCTCTCTTTCTCTTTCTCTCTTTCTCTCTCTCTCTCTAAATATTCCGCCTTTGCTTTCTCGCAGTCCAGACCGCCCGTCGGCCGCCCAAGGCGCTTGCACGGATGTTCGCTCCCGTTGCAGTGGTGTTGGCCCTGGTCAGCGCTGTGCATGTGCGCGCGGAGGGAGAAGCCTACACGACGGAGCTTGCGGAAGAGGTGATCTCCTGGACGCAGGAGGTCTTGCCGATGCCGTGGGACGTTCCGCGGGCGTGCCGTAATCCAGAGAGGAGGGTTCACGTGAGCACCGACAATAGGCAACCTAGTGACGACGCTCGCACAAGCCTCGTAGAGCCTGCGCGCTCGGTGCGCACTGGGGCGAGTTGCCACCTTCAGACGAACTCCGACGCTGTACTTTTTCAAGGCGTGGCACCCCAGAGTCCACGACCCCCTCGACCAGTTTTTCGTCGTGGGGTCGCCCTTGCTGGTTTTGGTGCTGGGAAAGGACCCCCCGAGGCCGAAACGGCGCAGCGACCGCCCGCCGTCTTTGCGTGCTCTTCTGCGACCCCTGGAGACCTCGGTTCTGCGATGCTCTTCCAGGGAGTTTGCCCAGAAGGACGGCGCGAGGCGACGCCGAGGCGGGTGCGTCCTCGGCCCCATCCGTGCCCGCAGCCGCCCAACGGCAGCGGCACCGGCCGTGCACCGCCCACTGTGCAGTCGAGTGGGCGCGCCCCTGGTGCTGAGCGCGCCTGTGTGCGAGAGCATTTCTGAACCCCCTGGCGAGAACGGTCGTCACCGAAGGGGGGTACGGTGCCGTTTTTAATACATGCTCCGCGTGCGGATCATGTATTGACAATGCAGGGATTCTGTATAAAAAACAACGTTGAGTTCATGCATACATTCAGTTATACATTAATCATGTAGTAAATATTCAATATGTTTTAGAAATCCTATACATATATATATATATATATATATATATATATATATATATTAAAAACTGCCCTGTAGGTGGGGCTGGTGACATCAGGATTCGCGCCCGCGGGGTCTGGGAATGCTCAGGAGAGTGGCCGACTCCCAGACGACGCAGGCGCGAATCGTGACGAATTACTGGGGGGGGGGGGGGCGGGGCGGGCAGCGGGCAGCGGGCGTCACCGCAAATATCGAGGAATGTGCTCGGGGGTAGGGGGGGCTGCCCTGCCCCTCCGGGGCAGCGTCAGGGGTTGCAAAAAAACGAATGATTGCAACAAAAACCCAAGGATTGCAGAAAAGGATTGCAAACAAACCTAGGATTTCAAAAGAAAAAAAAAAAACAGGATTGCAAAAAAAACGAAGGGTTTTTTTTTTGCAATCCTTTTTTGCAATCCTTCGTTCAGGTGGGAGGGGGAAGCCCGGGGGGGGGGGACACGTCGTCCCCCAATCGCCCCCTCAGCGCCGAGATGTGGCCCGCCCAGGAGCGCTCGGATCTGCCATCGTGGGGCCTGTCGCCGATCTATCGGCGAGGTATCCCCGATTGTGATCGTTTTCTTATTCACTGTTTTGCCGATCGGCGCCGGCCCTCGCACTCTCCCCCGCCTCCCCCCCCCCTCGTGGAGTAGATCTTGGCTGTTTTGGGCGCCTGTTCCGAGCAGGCGGAGTCTTCCCCCCATAGGACGCTCTGCTGCAAACAATCGCACTAAACAGAGGTCCCGGAGCCAGGCCCACCCCCCCCTCCCCTCCCCTTCCGCCCGATGTCGAGACGCCGAATAAAAACAACGCTCACATTCCAGGCCGATGTTTCCCCCCCCCCCCCTGAGCCCGTCGCCCCCGAACGTTCCCCTATCATCCCCCTCCGCTTCCCTCGGCATGAGTCGGGAGGGGGAAGAACACACCGACACAGTGAATCGCCGACTCCCCAGAGAGTATGGGAAAATGCGGGAAGGGTGGGGGGGAAGACGAAAATGAGCAAGTCTGGAAACATATGGGGGGACTCCTGGGATTTGTGGGTATGTCTTTGTGTATCCCCAGGCCCCTTCGATGAGACGCCGCTCCCCGGGGCTGCTCGGCCCGGCCCTGGCGCTCACAGAGAGAGATGCGGAGTCCCTCGAGGTTCCTTTTCGGCTCCAGCACGGGACTCCCGAGGGCGCCCTCCTGCCCCGACCACGTCAGGGCGCCCAGCCGTAAGTCGGGCCTGTCCCTCTACAGGAGGGAAAATCGAAAATAGTCGAAAAATAGTCTGGGGACTTTGTTTGATTATTTTCGAGCATTGTTTGAGTATGTTTGGGGCATCTTTAATTGTTCGTCCAAAATCCCCCTGTAGGGGGACAGGCCCGACTTAAGCCCAGCCTCCTCTCGTGCGGCGCCGTTGCCTGGAGGATGTCGAAGGCCGCCCCCAGACATGAGAGGGGTCGGCCCTCTCGTTTCTCGGAGCGCCGCCCGCGGCCGGGGCTTTCCTGACAGGGGGCTGTTCTCGCTCCTACGCGGCCCAGTGCCGACGGCGCTTCCAGGATTCAAGGCGCACCCCTGCTCCAGGCCTCCACTCAGGATGAATCGCCATTCTCGGGCAGCGACGATGCCAGGATCGTTCACTCTTGAGCTTCTGGTTGGCCGCTCGTCCTTCCTGTTCTCTGCTCCCGTTGCCCTCCAGGGCTCGATCCAGCCCTCCCTCCGCGTCTCGTCTCCCGGCATTCTGGCCGGAAGGAGGAGGGGGGGGGGGGCCTGTGCCCCCCGGTGGACGAGTGGTTTTGGCGACGCTTTCTGCACGGGTGGTCCTCCTTTAGGCAGCTACTCGCCCTCCTCTAGGGGGACAAAAAGTGGCATAAACATAAAAACTCGGAGGTCCGCGCGGATTTCTCGGATCGGCGCTGGACCCCCCTCCCTGGCGCGCGGAGCGCGACAGGGGCGGCGCCGGAGGCGCCGCCGGGGGGCCCCAGCGCCGATCCGAGAAATCCGCGCGGACTTCCGAGTTTTTATGTTCATGTCATTTGTTTGGTTCCCCCAATATACACTACCAGTGGCGGGCCGCTTTTGCATCCCAGGACTTTTTGAGGCTCTGGGGCGGCGTCGGGGCGGTGTGGTGTACATGTTTCCCCGTGCTTTTCTTTCCCGGGGGAGATGACGAAGATGTATGCACCAGCATCCCGCGCGGACCTCCGAGTTTTTAAGTTTATGCCACTTTTTGTTCCCCTATCCTCGCAGCCCTGGCCAGCGATTGCGCGCTGGCCACGAGCTGCGGCACACGCGCACGCACACGCGCAGATACACGCGAGAGCTTCCAGAGGGACGTGTGGGCATGACTGGGTTCGCAGCGCTGGCATCCCAAGAGGGAAGGCTACGACATGACGAAGGAGGGGGAGGAGGGGGAGGAGGAGGAAAAGGAGG